GAGCTTTTTCCATGCATTAAAATCGAAAGTAACACAGGTTTTTTTGGATATACTGGTTATCTACAGGCATTTAGTGACACTCACATGCTTATGAGCACGTTGGGTGCCGAAAATGAAGAGTTAACCATGAAACTGTTGGATTCCTTAAGAAAATATGTAAGGTAGGAATGCTATATCGTGTTGTGAGATTTCTAGTCTGGTCGTCGTAGCAGCCTCATAGTTTTTTTTCCTTTGATTCTCGACAGAGATGGATCAGGCTACAGTTGTGAAGTATCACGCACGGTTGGTCTCGCCATCTGCGAAGCATTTGTGGAAGCTGACAAAGTTAGTGTGTCTAGAGAGTAAAGACTCAAAAGTCTTTGGTTGAAATCAAGTTCAAAAGTTTTTATTTCTGCTTTTTCAGGGAAACTTCGATAAAGCTGTGGCGATTTTGAAACCTCTACGTTATAAAGTAGATGTTATAGGTGGAAGTGGAGCTCAGGTGAGGTTCAGGGACCTTTTTACTAAGGGCGTAGTTTAGTTTATGAAATAAATCTCTCGAAGGCTTTTCAAAGTTTTTATTGCTGGTGTATCTTGTGATGGCTCAAAACAACCAGCCACTGATGTAAGCCCTTGTACTACTCTACAGCTGAACGAATAACTGACCTATTTAAGGTGCAAGCCCTGGGCGAGGTGGGTTGTGTTGGGTTCTTGAGGAAGGTGCTGAGATGCCTCTAACCAGGTGCTCATGAGTAGGAAATGGGTTAAGGAGACAGAAACAAATGCTCTGACAACAAAAAAGGGGCCAGGTACTTGAAGCTCGGGTTGCTGCCGGAAAGACCTGTTACAATAAAAAGAGGGTGTTCAATTCGCCTTCATTCGTTGCCATAGTTTATTTTAAACCGTCTGCAAGTAGCTCAGATATATTACTGCAAAAGTAGATGCAATATAAGATATTACGAGCTACCATAAGATAGAAGGAATCTGCACTGCAAAACAAAAATGCTGGTGTCGTTGTGTCTGTTGTAGCGAGATGTTTACGAGTTATTCTTGATAAATGCTGCCATGCACTCGCAGCGAAAAGAGGATCACCAATTTGCCAGGTAATCACTGAGCATATCAACTAGTCATCGACACCCTTACATGGTGTATCAAATGAAAGGGCACCGTTTCATTGTATTTCCAAACAAGGAGAAAAGTTTTGAAAAGACAGTCCTAAATTGAACGATCAGCGTTCTATTTCTGACAAAGTTCTAGCTTTTCCAGCAATGTTGCAAAACACTTTTTCTCCAGTTTGATTCATATATTATTAGAAAACGGAGAAATATTTTGTTTCTTGTCGGGTTTTGCTGTGGTATTGAAGTCTCCCGACGTGGGAATTGATAAAGTTAGACTTTAAGTTAAACATTTGTTTGCTTTTTGTATTTTTTTTCCTTTGTTTAGTCTATTTGACCTCGTTTTCAGCTTTTTTGTTTGTTTTTGTTGTTTTTTTTATTCAGATGTCTTATTGCTGAAAAGAAAGCCAAAAAAGATAACGCACCCTTGACGGACAGACTTATGGCACAAGTGCTTTCTCTTTTATAACAATAACATGAAGTGATCTTTGCCTTACGTCCTTTGACCGTACCAACATCAGTCATCAGGACATCGAACACACCATCATGTTGATCTGCAAAATTTCTCAACTTGCCTACATAACCTCAATTACTATCACAGCAACCGACGTAAATTTTTTTACTAGTAACAAAGTACCAGCTAAGGGACCATTCAATTTTTATGAGGTAGTGGGGGCTAGTGGGATTTTTTGAACTTTCATTAAAAGTTGCAAGACCCCCCCAGACAGGTAAATTTTTTCTGTGACCCCCCATATCCCATCTTAAGACATTACTAAAATATTTTACGCGACCCCCCTTTTTGCCTCTTTTTTTTNGCATCACAAAAAAATCGGCAAAATTCCGTCATTATTCCTGAAATAGGACATTCCCCTGTGACTGTTGAATTGGAGACTTCCTTTTGCCGGGGATGTGCGATTTGCGATGAAAAAGACATTTTGAATTGAATACGCGGATTTTGAATTGAATTATTTCAACCAGGCGTACATGACGTGTCTGATGGACACGGCCTGATCACTACGCCGGTAAGACGTCTGCCTGAGACTTGGATCTTCGCGCCGTGGGTTCTTGCGAGTGATGGATCCGGCTAACCAGAATACTCTTCGCGAGTGTGCTGATTGGATCCGGCTTCCCAAGCACGCTTTTCAAGTAATCCACAGAAAATCCAGCTGACGCCTTGGTATTTGCATCAGGTCTCTGGATCTCCCACTCTCGCTTGTCGTTCGGAATATGGAATAACCAGGGTGGTCTAGCTGAGGAAACTGTTCAACAATGCACTGATGCACTTGCCTCACAAATTATGCGCAATGCTTTCTTTATGTACAGAATTTGTAACAGAATTCGAAAATACCTGAGAAATTATGCTTAAATAATTATTCGCCTCAGGCTCATTGAACATTCTTGAATAATCCTCTCCACTTTGTTTCGGGGATTATTCAACAATCTTGAAGTTATTGATAATCTTCATCATGTACGCAGATGCCTGAACATTGCCAAAACTAAGGATTCTAAGATCGTTTAGTCAGTACCTGCCAGTTAGTTCTTTTAAATGTAGACTAAATATTATAGATAACTTGATATGAAAAAGAAAACAAAGAAAAAAAGCAATTGTAAATGATAAATATTCACCTTATAATTGTAACTTTCTCTACAAGGAAGCATTGTTTACGCTCAACAAGACGAGTACGCTAATCTTTCATTATGACATCATTATTGTTATTATTATTTATATATTTATTTATTTATTTATCCTTTTTGCAAGTGTTAACAGAAATTGGTGAGTTTGAATCTCACATGCACTAATTGTAGCTGCTAACTTACTCCTTTGTTTTAATCGAAAGAAAAATGAGCGCTTCAAAGTATTTGTGTCAAACGTAAGTTTATCCTGCAGTGCTGTCGTCTTATTACGGCGAGTTAACCTTACAAGCTCGCGATGGTGAAATTGGCAGGCCATATTTGACTAAGAGTTTGAGCGGACGGAGTGGGGAAGGGGTGGGGAAAAAAGCCCCGCTGTTCTCCTACCTTTTTACCGTTACACACCCCCACCCCGTACTAGCCGTTCTGTTGCTGTAAAAATGAAAGATAGAACCTATAAATTTTATCAAGAAACTGATGAGCACTCTCTCTCTCGTCAAAAGTACACCTGCTCGGCAGGCTATATCAAGCTCCCCTTATGATTCGTCGTTCAACCAACCTCGTTCCCAGGGCCTTTCCTATTTTGAATTTTGCCGCCCGCCAATATTCAAAAAGGGAAAAGCCCTGGGAACGAGGTTGGTCCTTCGACATCGCCTATCTTTTTTTCATTCTCCTTATTTCGTGAAAATCGTCTTAACCGTCATTGAAAGACATTCTGATTACCCAGGATAAAATTTCCAGACCTCAACCAGACTTGGAAACAAATTAAAGATTCCCAAACCTCACGCTAAACATATTTCCAGGTTTTCCTATTTCCCTCCAAAGATCTCTACATACCTCTGACATTTTCTAAAAATATTTATAATTTTCACAGAATTTTGTGTCCAAATCTATTGAAAACCTTCCCTCTCACGCTCAACCAACTTATTTCGTGACTAGCTGCATGACAACTTTGCATGACATGGAAACCCATCATTCTTGCGTTACACTGTACTTAGCACTGACCAAAAGAATAGCAGGCTCTGGAACCAACTCTTTTGGTCACCAGTCCCTCAGTAATTGTAAATACTTCCCTCCATTTCCTTCTTCATTTTTCGTGACAGCGTACAGGTGTTGAGGCTTGAGTGTTTGGTGGGAGGTCAATCGTTGTTTAGATTTATACTTAATTGCGAAAAAAATGTCATATCTACACACTCATTGGAGAGATGTTGATGTAAGTGTCTCCATTCGTTTTTCTGTAGATTGATGCACCCGCCTAATTACCTCCCAGTTCTGTTCTATTCTTCCGGAAGGGATGGAGTTTGATTTGTGCGACAGGCCAAAAATTATGTTTTGCTCTAACCAAGACAGAAAAATGACTTTTTTGTTTTTCATTTGTCGTGGTAGCCTTGGTGGTATTATCTGCATATACTTGCGATTTTTGAAAGATCGTAAGTACTTTAATTCAGGTCGAGGATAGAAGATCGAAGATCGTATTTGTAACAAGGAACTATGACTAAGCAAAAATGAATATTGATTGGTCATGTAGTAGCAGTCATTTTAATTAGAATGTGGAAGAAACCACCTTGAGTCTTTTCGAAGATGCTTCTGAGAACAGAACATTACGATCATTAATCACTATATTTGTAATAGCACCCGCTAAAGATGCATCATCTCTCTATGTCTATTATCGAAGGAGAAATCAGATACTGTACACTCTAATAAGGGTTACAGCAAGAAAAATGTTTGGTTTTGCAGGCATGGAGGAAGGAAGGGTTTTTACTGTCAACAACAAGCAATGAAGCAGCTAAAATGTTTGATGCGTCCCTTACTCAGGTTAGGTTAATATTTAAGAAGTTAGGAGTCATTTCAGAATTGCCATAGAACAAATTTTGATGGGAAAAATACTGGCGGTTTTCTTGCTAAAGGAAAATTAATCAGTATTTCCTGTTGGCCACCCCTATAAGGTTACTTGAGCATGCCAGCAACCAAATGAAGAAAACTACTAACCATCGGTTCACAGGTTGCAGTCAAATTTTGATCTAGATACAGATATTTGTAGCACACGAGGTTTACCTTCTTTTAACTGTTGAATTCATGAGGGTTTCCTACATATATTCCAACTTGTAACCAACAGTTACTGTTTTTAAGGTTGTAGCTCACCTTGACGATGATAGTGTTGGTGGTCTGCAGAATTCAGTAACCAGAATGTTGGAAGCAGATCCTGATTTTGGTATTAAATATATATAAGCTTTCTTTAGGGGAGCAAAAACTTAAAAAAATCTGTCCAAAAACTTGAGATGGTCCGTTAGTATGGATTTGTAAAGACTATTTTCAGGGCTGTGGTCTTTTATTCATCTTTGAAAATGCATCATACAGAAAAGTGCATGTCTTTTTTATCTAAAAATCTCCTGACCTGCCGTAAATCTTATAAACAATATTAGCAAGGTAAGGGTTCTAGACCAAATCTACCATGGGTGGCAAAAGTAGTTGCAATTTGGCATTGTGTCCTTTTAGTGGGTGATCAACAACCATCCAATCAACATGTTAAACAAATATCTTCAGTTGTAAATGATCTCTACTAAGTTACTTGAAATTACAAGTTCTAAATCAATGAACAGGTTATTTTTATTTTCACTCCCAGAATGGACTTTTCAGATAAGGAGGAATTGCTCATAGTTTTCAGTTTTGCCTACTAGTAGTAAATGACTTCGTACTGATTTTTACCTTTTGTCTTTTCACATCAGCTTTGGGTCATGTTGTGGCGTCTATCTTTGAAGTTAAGAATTCTATGGATGTTGCTCAGTCATTAGCTTCTAAGGGTAAACTTAACGACAGAGAAATGCTCCACTTTAATGCTGCAAAAGCACTGGCTGCAGGGTAAGATATGCTTAG